CCCCCCCCCCCTCCTCCGTCGATTAAATGTAGGCAACGCATTGCAATTGCACGTGTCTATGGGCGGCTGTCGCTTCGCTTTTTCGGCGTATTAAGGTTACTTACTCGTTTAACAGTCTATAATATCCAAGTTAGCGCCGCTCCTTGGATTGGCTGAAAATATGGAAGCCAATTAAAAGGAAACAATATATTAACGTTAACTGACTGGTCATGAAAACATACAGTTATATTTAAAAAAAAACATTAAGTAAGGCAGAGATAGCGTCGTCACCTCCTAGGACCGCTGAGATGCTCTCCTGAGTGAGGCTCAATTAGGGGTCAGTCAACCTGTCGCACATCGACACATCGAGGGAATTTCTCCTGAAATAATACTATATGCAGCTTGCATTTGCATCACGCTGTTTTCCAGTCTTTGTCGTGAGGTGTTCGGTGTTTCACCGCAAAAGCGACAATCGATCGAGCGTTCCGTACGCCTTGAAGCGATAAAGCTTGCTAAATGTTGTGCTAAAATGTTTTAATGTGTGTAATTGTTAAAAAGAATAGCTTGTAGCTTCACACTAGCCACTAGATATGCTAGTCAATTATTCTATTATTGAAATACCGCGTAGATTGTAAATTGGAATTTTGACACATTGTTGCATGGCGGTGGTGGGGATGGAACCAAGGCCCGGAGATTGCAAGACCAGTGATCTGAGCATAGCAGGTTGCACCTACTTATCATCACCCACCGCGCTCCACTGTTACCTTGTTTATTCTAAAGCAGAATGTATTGTAAAACATATTAGTTAGAGATAGAGATACGCCATAGTTTATTTTCTTATAACATTTTCACATATCTAGTTGAAATGGAATTGCCTTCGTTAGCCGCAAAAGGCAAACGTTAAGCTGTTCAAAAAATAAACTTCAATAGTAATTACATAATTATATATGATACCAGTGAAAAGCAAAGTTTAATCCGTTTCCAGATTTAGCAGACTATAATAAAGTTTCAGTCAGAGGCCACGAAAAGCCACTTTGTTTTATAAGATTGTATTTTTTAGAACTAGCTGTCACCTGCGAGTTCATCTGCGCAGTATTAAATCTTAATTAGTAGCCTAAGTGTTCTTCCAGACTGTATTCTACTCTACATCTATGTCGAATTTCCGCGAGATTCATAAACAGTTCTGGAGATAGCTTGTAACAAACATCCATGTATTAATACAATCTTTCGTATTTGTAATCTTCTGTAAGACATGTCTGCGCATTTAATTTAAAAAAAAAACCCTTTTTCGTAGATCTTCACTATTAAAACTCTCCCCTGGTTGCCTCATCCAGCATCGGTATTCTCTTCGTTGACATATCGCACGACTTTCACTTTCGCAGTAACTTGAAAGACAAGGCCTCTAAGCCTCTAAAAACACGGTGTAGTGTATTAAGCGAGCCACTGCCTTCACCTATCCGAGGCGAGTTCATCCTCACACGATAATGATTCTATTACCAGCGTCTTCCGTTTGACTTCCTACAATGGAGAGCGAATAGAATCGTAAACGATCGAGCTTTAATTCTGTGCATTTTTTTTTCTGCATATAGCACAGGAGTAGTAAGAACTGTGCGAAACGATTCCTGCCGCCGAGTTCCGTCATCGGATGCCTCGACACAACGCCAGGTATCAGTCACACTACAGCGGTGCGAATATTCTCCCACGCAATGGTAGTGGAATGGTATGTCTTTGGTGGTGTTTCCTAACCCCCTGGTTAGTATATACCTTTCAGGCGAGGATATCCGCAACACCAATGTGCTGCGGATGTCCTTGTGTGTCGATGATCACTTCGATGTTCTCTCCGCTCGTTTTCTCCTTTCTCTTAAAAAAGGATTGAAAATTTGTACGTCAGGAAATGTGTGACTGTGCGCGCTATAATTTGTCTATTTTATAATCACTTTCACGATTCACCAGACATGGGATGAGATAAATCTCATGTTGTCCTCATAGATCTTGCATCGATCATTTCCTGATAATTATTTTAGAATTCAATATAAATACTGAAAATTGTTTCGTTCTATTTCATTATTAAAAATGAAATAAAGAAATTAAACTTTTAATCAGAAATCGAGGTGTTGCAAAACAAAAAAAATATAAGAAAGGTATTGTTTGTGATTTTGTTTACAGTTAAGTAATTGTGCGATGTATAACGAACCTAATAACTTTAATAAATACAAAAAAAGAAGAACACCGTACGATTGAATATGTCCATTTTGCAACACAACGACACATGTCAATTTTAGTCATGGGCGCTTTATGATATTTGTTAATGTTTGACTTGGCCGCCTGCCATTCGCACTCAGCATTATCAAGGAGATGTCCAGTCCTTCGCGTCGTTCATCTCCTGTGATCCTCAAAACTCCAACATCAAAAACGTGTCAGGCATGTGGGTCCCTTATCAAGCTGGAATGTTGCACTCGTGACGGGCCATGGACTATGTAGATGCGAATTCCGGTACTTACGGGCTGCGGCGCCGACCGTCGGCGTCGGCTTGCAGGATTCGCCCGTGCATCAGAACGTGAGATTGCGGTACGACTCGCGTTCCTCGATCGACACCCACTCGTCACCGAGAAAAGGTCGGTGCACAGGGCGCGCGGCGCGGGGCCTGTGCGGCGCTGGGCGGCCCTCGGACCGGAAGAGGTCGTTTCGTCGTCCGAAGGGCGAACGTCCCGGCAGTCACATTAAGGTCATTCGCTCGTTTTGAGGTCGCATCGATTAGGTTCGCACTGCCGGCGGCCGAGCGCCGGAAACTCGACGCGATCATCGAAGCGCGAGGCGATCGATACCGCGAGCGGCTGCAGGATGCACCGGCGCGGCTCGCGACCCTTACGTAAGGACTCGCGCCACCGACACTTACTTGTCGCCGGCTAGGAGGCCGCTAGGCGCGGCGGCGAGCTGTGGTGGCCGGCGGCGCGCTGCGCACTGCGCGAGCCGCGGGGCGGGCGAGGGGTGGCTCGCCCCAGACGCCGCGCCGCCGCCCGCCCGCGCTTGCGCTCACCGCACACCGATCTCGCCAATCCTTCAAGGCAGGTTACACTTATACAATGGCATTTCACTAAGGAACTTTGGATTATCAGATGGCGCGACGCTGGCACCGGGCACCAGGCGCAACTCTATAGCTTGTTCTCTTTTGTATCAATACATCTCCGCAGGCCTGTTTGGTGCTAACTTGGATACGGTACCTCTATAACTGTGTTCATCTTCCCCAAGTGTATTTTGTTACAACATTTTTGGTTAAACAATATGCTACTTAATTTTTTTTCACGGAATTTTCGAACTTTATTATTTCGCAATCATTTGATGTGTAAATGTGTTTTTTATAGTATTTATTACGCGCTTGCGCTTACGAGTATTTTTTTTGCTGTTTAATATTCTCGAAAATATATATGTATTTTTTGTTATCGTCAAATTACATACACAGTACATTAACAAATGATACGCAGAGTTACATTAAATCATTTGGATTCCCTTCCCTTGAGGGAAACTACAGCTAATATGGCCGGTGAGAAAAATCTGAATGATCGTTGTTCGAATGCCGACTGAATCGTATGCATTCTGAAGATCACCATCAAATCATACCAAGTACGATTGGTAACGTTTTAGGGAAGACAAATATCATGTCATAGAGCATACGGCACAGTCGCATAGAACACTTTCATATACATAATGGTGTCCCAAACATTCCCTTCAAATGTCGAGCCGAATGCGAGGTATTTTACCCTTGAATATCTACATCGACCGGACTAGGCGGCTTCGTGTCGCCGACGTCGTCCACTCGCTTTACTCGTTTCTTTTATATGATGTGAGAGCAGCGCACGGCCGCAGACTGCGCTCGCGGGGTCGGGGGATACATTACCAATAAAACACCGAGGGTAGAAAAATACAATTTATTTCTTAAGCTATCCATGTTCCGCGTCCAGGGAGCGAGCGACCCGGAGCCGGTGCTAGTGCGGGGTCGCGTGGGGCGCGGGGCGCACGGGGCGCGCGGGGCGGGGGCCGCGGCGCGGGGCGCCGGAGCGCGCGCGCCGCGCCACGATGACGCGCGTCAGTCGGCCGCGCGCGCCTGCGCAGACGCACGCACACGGGGTTGTTATCACAAGATCGCGCGGCCTCAGCCACTAAGTGGCGGCCGACGTATATTTAACATTCCGTCTAAATGCATATCGATATATAGAATTGGTTTCCTAGAATACCATCATAAAATACAAATCGATGTTACTAAATAAAATGAACTATTGTACTTTTTCTTTTTTTTTTTTAATCGGTACACGATGTCACCTGCGGGCGCGAAGGCGGGCGGCTCGTCGTCCGCGAACACGATGGGCAGCTGCAGGATGTCCGCGGCGTCGAGCGCGGGGGGCGCGGTGGGCGCGGTGGGCGCAGGGGGTGCGCCGGGTGCGGGGGGCGCGCCGGGTGCGGGGGGTGCGGGCGGGCGGCGCGGCCCGAGCGGCGGCGGCAGCGCGAGCGGCGTGCCGCCCAGCGCGCGCGACACCACGCGCGTCCTGCACATGCGTTCTCTGCTCAATGTATATACATCAATATAATACATAACAAAGACTTGGTAATTATGTACCCAACACCGTTGTTCACAATTATATAAGAAAAAAAGAAAGGAAAGAAAACAGTAATAAAACTATTCGTACAATTAAACTAAACAAATTAGTTCACAAAGACAAAGCACGCGCGACACTTCTCTTGAATGATGCAGATCACGTGGAGAACAAATCTATATGAATAAGCAGATCATTGTATAGTCTCATCACCCTCCATAAGGAGGCGCGCTCACCACCATGCGTCTTACATCGTTGTAGTGCGAACAGAACACTTACGAGTGCTTCCAAATTGACATGCAATTTTATTTGTCTAATTAATTCTATGCAATTAAATTTATGGTTTAGGATGTTGTGCAGCAACATGACATCCAAGACATTACGTCTCATGTCATATATTAGCAACAATGAACTGTACGAGGACCTCGAACGAAAACAACGATAATGCATAGACCGTAGAAACTTGCGCTGAAAAATTTTATGAAATAAGATTGATCCAAAAATTTAAGTAATATTTAGTCACTCACCCGACTGGCAGCGCGGCGGGGGGCGCGGGGGGCGGCGTGGCGGGGGGCGCGGGCGGCGAGGGCGAGGTCCGCTCCTCCGCCGGCTCGGCGCCTGCAACAGAGGGACGGTGAGCCGGCCGCCCGCAGCGGACACGTGTCGCCGCGCCCGGAACGCCCCGCGAGCGCTCATCTAAACTTTAAAGTTTCGAGTACACTCCTTTTTTTTTTTTTTTAATCGACGATTCAATACTTAACTCACCGCCGGGTCGAAGAAAACAAACGGGCACAGAGCGAAATATTAAAACAATAGTACTTAGATACGACAAGCGTGCGACCGCACCGAGCGCACCTCCCGCCACCCGACAGCCGCGCTCCTCGCGCTCGCGCCGCTCCTGCTGCAGCTCCCGCACCCAGCGCGCGCACTCGTCCTGCAACACCACCGCCACGTCACCACACGTCCCCA